CAAAAGCTGCACAAGGGCAGATGTCTCTAAGAGGTCGGTTGCCTGATCTATCCCCAGGCACTTAGAACCTCCCTGGAGCAGGTGCTGAATTAATACTTACAGCATTGATGAAAGGAAAAGGAGAAGAATTGGGACAGATGGTTCTCCATATAATTTCCAAAGACTATAGACAAAATGTTCTTTATACCAGTAAATATAAGGAAATCGGGGAAGAGATTGAAAGATAACAGAATCTGTTGAAAAGCAAAACGGCATAACTGAGACTAAAAATGGAAAAGAAGCCCTGTCCAGTTTGCTAAGTGGTTAGAGCATCGGTCCACAGACCGAAGGGTCACAGGCTTGATTCCCGGTCAAGGGCATGCAACTCGGTTGCAGATGCTATCCCAGGCCCCATTAGGGCAAATGCAGGAAGCAATGTGTCTTTCTCACGCTGATGTTTCTCTCTCTCCCCGCCCCCCCATTTCCTCCTCCCCTTTCACTCTAAAATTCATTGGAAAAAATATCCTCGGGTGAGGATTAAAAAACAATAAAAATAAAAAGGAAAAGAAAAATATGGTACAAAGGAAAGCATTATTAAATTATATACATATATATATAATGGACCCCCTAGAGAAAATTTACACAAAAGGAATATTTAACACTAAGAAGGATAAAAAAATAATTATAGAAAACATGTTAGATTTGGAAGGCAAGGGCAAATGGGCAAATAGACATATAATCGGTATTTCTATGTAAGACAACAAGATAAATGGGAAAAATTAAACTGGAAATGATGGTTATTCAACAAAAGTATAGCTGTAAATCTGGACAGTGATAATGTAAATAGGCAAAATTGAGATGTGAGGTGAACGAGATATGAGAAAAGGTAAGTTTTTGAATTTTCTTTTATAGAGAAGTATATATAAAATCAAAATAAAATATTCTTTAATAAATACAAACTCAATTTATAAATAATCTTTAACTTGTGAGAAATCTTTTAAGAACTAATATTTGAAGAAAAAAAGCATTTATTTGAAATTTAGCGATTTCTTTATGTTTACTTCACTTATATGTTTTTATTATTGTTTTATGCAAGAGAATACAAGATATATCCTTGCCTTATTAGATGTTTATAAATGAGTGCTTTTACCTTTTCTTATACATTTTGAGTACTTTAGAATATGTTAACTCCATTCACTGTTCTTCCAACTTATATTCAATTATTATCACATATTTTCATTATAAATGTAAATACCACAATGGATAACTTTCATGTTTTGTACGGTTAATATTCATTTAAATAAACCCACTTAGTTACACTTTATCTTCTATCTGATATTATTTCACTTATGCCTTTAATGTTCCCTTTAATGTAAGTCTTCTGGGAACATATTTTCTCAGTTTCTGTTTTTCTGAACTTGTCTTTATGCTCATTTTTGAAGAATATCTTTTGCTGAGTATAGAATTCTAGGGTTGACATTTTTCCTTCACTTTGAAAATATTCCATTGTTTCTACGAAGAGGTGAACTCTAAATTTAATTGTTGCTCATTTAAATGTAATTTGTCTTTTTTGCCCTCTGGCAGCTTTAAGATCGTTTTTGTCTTTGTTTGTTTGCTTTTTAGCAGGTTTTATCGATATGTTGAGATATGGTTTTCTTTATATAGAAGAACCTGTTTGGTTTGTGCAGTCATGCTGTATGAATCATGCTGGTCTGTGCCTCCATTGTCCAGACCTGTGGGTTCTACCTCAAGCCCTGGGTATCTACTAGGACATCCTTTCTCCCTCCCCACATCATTGGAAACATTTTCTCATGAAAGTTTGACTTGTTGAGAAGTGTGGCATACTATTTTTAATTAAATCTGTGCTTTTTCTTTTGTTCTTGCAAAATTTTAGTCAATCCATCTGTGAAAAATTCAGCTACTCGGTCATTCCATTCTTCTCCTAAGAAGTCTCCGGTTCACTCCCTCCTAACTAGTTCGGCTGAAGGTTCCATATGTTCCACATCCCCATACAGGTCCGCCAAAACTATCCATTCAACTGACTCTGTTAAAGGTAAGAATCACCTGATATCACCAATGAGATTAATTGATTTCCCTGCTCTGGTAAACGGAAAGTTCCTCTTTATAATCAGAATAAGATTTTATTTGGTGTTCTTATATGCAAGTTCTGCTAGCTAGCTGTGCAACTTAAGTGGGTCTGATTTAAATAATAACTATTGTGTATACACACATGCACACACCCCTTAGTAAATATACATAGACATACGTAAATATTATCTTTCTTTCTCTGTCACAAATAATGATTTTTTCTATTTGTAATAAGATTTTGGGTCTTCTTTCCAATGTTGTGACTTCTCTTATTTACATTCTCTGAAATCCCAGCCCTCTTTTGTCCGTGCCTTTGTAAAGGCAGGTGTCTATCATGCAAACTTACCAGAATGTTCTCATTTTTTTATTCTAAGTTCTTTTTGTGTGTGTGCTAAGACAGATGGGAAAATGTTTGATTTAGAATAAGTGTCTGATAATAAGTGGATGTTAAATAAGTGTTGACTTGAACCTGAAGTGTTTTTCATCCTGTGTGACAGTGAGTCAGAGGACCCAGGCTCTCGGGTATCATTCCCACTGACAAGGGGTAAACTAGGCAAATTGTCGCATCAGAGTCTAAGACTAAAATTAAAATCTTGAGATTGCCAATTGAGTATTTTTTAGAGATTGACAAAACTTAGCATCCTTATTAGAGAATAGCTTGCATGTACCTACCCCAGTGATGGCGAACCTTTTGAGCTCGGTGTGTCAGCATTTTGAAAAACCCTAACTTAAGTCTGGTGCCGTGTCACATATAGAAATTTTTTGATATTTGCAACCATAGTAAAACAAAGACTTATATTTTTGATATTTATTTTATATATTTCAATGCCATTTAACAAAGAAAAATCAACCCAAAAAATGAGTTCGCGTGTCACCTCTGACACGCGTGTCATAGGTTCGCCATCACTGCCCTAGCCCCTCCTCAGTTACTCCTGCCACATTTATTCTCAGCTCACTGCAGCCAGGTGAGCATCAGGCTGCCCTCTCCATCTTATAACCCCTCCCTCATTCAGGTGACAGCAGCTAGAATGCGCACTCGGCCTCACACACCTCAGGAATGTCGCCAGTGTCAGTATTAAATCTTGCTCTTCCAAACTCTAAGTTCATGGAACTCTAAGGTTTGTTATGAAAAGCTGTCATTTACAATGCAGAATATATCATTAAACAAAAAGTATTTCTCTCACTCATCCCATTTAGTGCTGTGTAGTTAAATAAGAGTAAATCAGCTTGGTATAAAACAAAATAAGTCAGCATTGCAGTATTTAGATAAGACACTTCTTTATTTTAAAATAGGTTTTCATAGGTTAAGGTTTTCATTATTTGAAAGGAACAGTTATTTAACCTGTAATTGGAAGATTTCTAAAATATATATTAAATAGATTTTTAATATCACATCTAAGCAATTTTCTAATAGCTTCACAGTCTCAGCCAATAGAAACCACAGGAAAAACATGCAGGAAGCTTCAGAACAGACTGGAAAGCTTGCAAACTCTGGTGGAAGATTTACAGTTGAAGAACCAAGGTACAGTGCACATTTGGCGAGATCTTCCTTGCTCAAAAGAATACTCCCCTTCCCTTCAGGTGAAGCCTCCTTTCTATTGGCCCGCTGTAAAGCATCCTGAATAAGCAGTCTTAAGCAACATATAAGGGTCTGAACCCTGACCAACCCCTGGATTAATTGTGTGACCTTAGGCAGGTCACTGTAGTCCTGCTCTACTGTAGATAAGCATTTGTGTGGCAATAGCTAGGGCATGATTGCGGTCAGTAGCCAGAAAACAAAATAGCAGTACACAGCCTACACAGGGCTTTGGTTAGCATGGACTGTACGCGACTCTGCCACAGGCTGCTCTGTCTGTGGAGCAGCCCTCTCTCTCTCACTGCTTCACTGATAACTCTTCCACCTTAAAGAAAGAAAAAGAGACTAGGCCACATAAAAAAAAACCCCACTTATAAATACCCTAAAGCTGTTTGGATGAGACGTTACTGTACTCTGCAAATCACAGGCAACACTTAGGCGTAAGTGCTAAGTGGATGTTCCTGAGCATAGGGGAGGATTTGGATATGTCCCCGCGGGCTTGGGAGGGCTGTCTCGCTCTATGCTTTTCTGACATAAATTCATGAATCCTGGAGCCTCTTTTCAGAGGGAAGTTCATTTTGAAGTATACATGTTATTCTATCTCTTCCCAGCTCTAGAGAAGTAAGATGCAGAAGGATATTTTTCTAAGAACAAATCCTTATAAAATAAATTTAACTTTGTTAATAATCATCATTGCTATTGGCATTGATTGAGCATTTTCCAGCTCTGTGGCAGGCCCTGTTCCCAGAGCTTTACTGATGTTCTCTCCATGTGAACCTCACAACAACTGGGACATGGGCACTCATGTTACGTCACTTGAACCACAAGTAAGATCACAGCCAATAAAGCCCAAGTCACATGAGTAGTAGGGCTGGGACTTGGTCTCCGTAATTTCTAACTCTGAAATCCACATGTTCTACCAAATTATTATTAAAAAAGGTTCCAGATCCCTTATAATGACACCAGACGCTGTGGAGAAAAATATCAGAAAATGTTTGATTTTAAGTTATTGTGAGCTTTTCAAAGAAGATGCAGTATCTCCTTGGCTCCATTTTTATCACGCTTTGATTTATATTACTGGGTTTATTTGAGTAATGCCACCATTTAATAGTTCAAATGAGAGACTTGTTGCATCTGTTTAAAAATATCTAAAGACCTTTGTATTGGATACATTGTCTGGATGGGATGTCTCTTGGAAATTATGAAACAAATATGTTTTAGAGAATTTGGGGAGCATTTGTCAAAATTTAAAGTGCACATGTGCCTTGGCCCAGAAATTCCATTTCTAACAATTTTTTCTGTAAGAAGTAATTCTACAAATGCACTAAGGTTTGTTTACAAAAGTATTTCCTGTAGCATTGTTTAAAAACAAAACTAAGAAAGCAACTTTTAAAAATGTGTTTATTACCACATTGGTACATCCATATAATGGAATACTGTGCAGTCATAACAAACTGTGAGCTGAACTGGGAAGATGTTAACATTTTGTTAAGTGAATAAAGCAAGCTACAGAACAAGTTATACTACATTTCCGTTTATGTAAAGAAGAACCTCGTGTGTGTGTGTGTGTGTGTGTGTGTGTGTGTGTGTGTGTACACAGGTACGCATGAAGATATTCACCAGACTGTTTACAGCGATGACCTCAAGGGAGTGGGCTCTACAGGTGAAGGGAGCAGAAGCAAAGACTGACTTGCATCTCTGTACGCTTCTGAGGTGTTCGGATTATTAACAATAGCATGCATTCCTTCTATCATAATAATTGTGCTCATTAAAATAACTAAACTAGTAGAGATTTATCCTTAGCTCTGTTCCATAACATATCTTTTCAAAAATATACTACTTTGCATTTTCAAGTTCTTGAGCTCAGAATGCATGTATTCTACCTTAGCAAGCTGACCTTTTAAAAAGCACATAATAGAATTAAAGCCTCAGTAAATGTTGTTATTCTAACTTTGTCTTATCAACATTTTCAGCAATGTCTTCAATGATAAGAAATCAAGAAAAGAGAATACAGAAAGTGAAAGACCAGGAAAAAATGTTACTAAAGTGACACATTGCTTGCCTATTCTTTACAGAGATATGATGCCCAATTAATTGTGGTGTTACTTATAAATAGTGCCCTGCAAACTTTTTTTTCTTTTTATGTGAAATTTTAATTAAAGATACCCTGTCTTGTACACTCTATTTTGAAATAAACTATTCTTGAATGCTCTCCCAGTAAAACTTGAAGCAGTACTCACTAGTTGTGAAAGTATTCATAACTTAAAATGTATTACTTTGTGCTAGTGTCTTAGAATTATTATGCCTTTTTTCCTCTCTTTTTTTTTTTTTTAAACTGGTGCTGAAGCAATAGTGTTGTTGTTGTTTTCCCCAACTTAAAAAACAATATTTACATGGAAGTGAAAGATGTGGTATAATGCCCGGAACAGGGCAGACTCTGACACATGACAGGGATTC